TTTTTTAAAATCCAATGAGTGGATCACATAATATTTCAAAATTTTTAACTTTTGAGTATAGATGATTCGCACTGTATAAAACGACAAAAATAAGATATATAATGCGAAACAACAAAAACAATAACTGCTTAATTGCGAGAAATTATATAACTTACAACATAATAGAATTTCCTATTTTTCTTTCTACTTGTCTGCTATCTATAAGACTGTTGTTTGCATCATAAACGAAAAGAGAAATCCCATCATGCCTAACTTCATCCCGTGTAACTTCATCCAAACCAAAAGTATTAATGTTACGTATTATTTAACTATTTATTACATTTTGAAAATCATCTTCCAGTGATGATGGTGAAGTTGAAAAGAAAGTATACCAAAGCTTACCCAAATTAAGAATTGTATTTCAAGACTTAATCAATAAAAAAGAGGCCACGATAAGAGCAAGTTCACCATTAACTTCAACATATAAGAATAAATTTATTCAATAAAATATATAATATTAATTTTTTCTTATGCAAAATTTATAGCCTTGTGTTTATTATAGAAGTGATGTAAAAGTTATTTATCTTTTAATTATCAAAGAAAATTGTTCATTTTTTTAATTAATATCTATAAACAATATATAGGCTACAATGAAGATTCTTTTTTTAAATATGTATAATACGTACATTCGCGTCCAATAATCAATAAAACTTTTTACGTTTCGCGACTTTGCATTAATTTGATTTCAAGACGTTATAGGACCTGGAAACTTTTACATAATTAAAAAACATATGGGTGAATTAAAAGGTCAGTGACTTTCAAGTGTATATCCAATGACATAAATTTTTTTAAGCTTTTATATCTGGTCAAATAAAATGGGAAATATAAAAAATATAAATTTAATAAATTTAACAAACTATTAACGAAAATTGCGATTTAAATGATGATGTTGATGATCAAAGGTAGTTATAGATAATCTATATAGTTATGTTTTGTTTGTCATAATATTAACATCGCCTGTATTTGGCGATTTTTCCGTAGTGCACTGTACTACTAAAAGAATTCAAAAAAAAAAAAAAAAAATAGTATATTTAGTATAGTTGTTTTTTTATACTTTTAATTTTTAAAACAAGACGCGCGCCAACAACAGAAAATCAATGAATTCTAAGCGAACAAAACCGATTCGACCGACAATGCCAAAGTCACAACAACAACAACAACAAAATAAAAAGGGTAAACAGCATTTGCCGCGAAAAAAAAAACCCAAAGATAATAATGATAACAATAACAGCGACTACAACAGTAGTAGTAATAATAATAGTAATAATAGTACCTCCACCAATAGTGAAAAAGATAGCGATGCTGATGATAACAAGAAAAATGATAATACTGATAGTAAGGATCCATCTCTTGTGCTTGAGCAGTTTGAGGATGAAGAATTTCCAAGTGAGGATGAATTGTTCAAGATGGCCCTTGCGTCGCCAATGGAACAACAAGGCAATAAATTTAATGAAAAGAAAGAGAAAATATCTGACTTAACAGGGCTAACAGCACTTCACCTAGACAATGACAAATATGAATCTGACTATTTATCAGATTTCGATGCTGATAAGGATGAAGCTCTTAACATTCCCGGTGAGCTAGTATTGGCTTATAGTATGTGGAAATTTTATCCAGCAAAAATTGTAGGCTATGAAAAGGTGTATCATCAATCACACTATTGTAATTATAATTAATGCTGTTGTTTACTTGCATAATAATATAGTATTAATTAAAATTTTATTTAATATAGCCTAATAAATATCATGTAGTTTTCTGTGATGGATCCAAAAGAACACTTAAAAGGAAAAAATTTTACACTCTATGGCAAAAAGGATTTAAAACTTGTCCGGTTCTCTAAAAAATCTTATTTGGTTTTTTTTAAAAAAGATTTATATTTACACATTTATACTTACATATATATATTTTTTAAAAAAAATAAATAGGTGGGAGATATCGTAATGGAAAATGAGAATCCAGATTATAGAGATCCAGAACTAATCACTGCAATTCAAGAACTTGAGCCAATATTATCCAAAGTTTTATTGGGTGATGAAAAATCAGCTTGGAGATATCAAAATTTTGTTGAAGGTGGGAAAAGGCGTCGGTTATTGGCTTCTCATGTCTCTCAGGGACCTTTTAATAATTCTGAGTTTGGTTTAATCCTAAAAGTATTAAGACACATGTATGTACCTGAAGTTGCAAAGGCTATAGATAAAACTGATTTTATAGAACCATCTGAATTGATAAAATCAATGGAAACAGTTATCAAACAGCAACAACAACAACAGCAACAAGAAAAAGACAAGACTGTACAATCGCTTCCTCAACAACAACAAGAACTAACTCACCAACAACAGAGCCAACAAGAGCAATCATCGCTACCATTGTCATTTTTATCATCTGTTCCATTTCCAAATACTCATGACATTAAGCAATCTTCTCCATCGTCATCATCAAGTTCATCTCACAATCCTCGTAAACGTAAACAATCATCACCATCACCGTCATCATCACCGTCACCATCACCATCGCCATCACCATCATCGTCACCATTCTCATCAACAAGTCCTAATAAACGTAACAAGTCATCACCGTCACCGTTATTATCATCGTCAATTTCACCCTCTAATAATCTTAATAAAAAAAACCATAAAACATCATCACCTTCATTACCGCCGCCATCAAGTTCGCTTCCAAATTATAATAAATGCAAAAATGAATTTTCATCATCATTCTCATCCTCCTTATCTGATTCCACACAATGTAAACTACCACAACTACAAAAAGAAAATTTATCACCATCATTCAAATCATCATCTACATCTTCATTATCATCAGTACAATCTATTTCATCCTCTGACCCTTCGGACTCTTTAAAATCACTGCCAGCACCAACCGCTGTAATATCACAACCAATATCGTTACCAGATGATAGATTAAATTCTCCTTTTTTCATTTATTCACCTGACTTGCAGCACAGATTTGTAAATGATGTATTGGTACCTGAAACTATCATTAGGTTAATTATGAAATCAGATGAATTAAGTTATGAGGAGGCAGATCTAAAAATGACCGATGGCTATGAAGACTTGAGTTGGGTAGAAACAATAATGACCTCCAGAAGTGTTTTCACTTAAAGAATAAATAATATATAATAATAGTTGGCAGTAATTATTGTAGTAGTAATAGTAGTAATAGGTGATAATTATAGCATATTATAATAATCACATCGAAAAAAGTGGTTTTTATTTTCAGTCTTTAAAATCTCATTTATATAATGTAGATTATACGATAAATTGTTTAATATTTTGTGAAATTTTATTTTTTTTGATTAAATATTAAATAAAAAAAAATATAAAATATATATAAAAAAAAATATTTAAATTCATTTGTTTTTATAAAAGAAAAAAACCATTTCATAATTCATAACCATAATGTAATTTTTCATCATCTCTATATATATATATTATTATTTTTTTTATACAAAAAGTTGGATTGAAGTCACCATTACATAGTGATTATACTCTTCAACTTTCCTCACCCGCTAACCAACAAAAGTATACCTTTAGTCTTTAGAAAGCTTTGGTTCATGATCTTTCTTTGTAGTGATAGTAACAGTAGTAGCAGCATCAGTAGTAGCAGCATCAGGCTCTTCTGATTTTCTTTTTATAGGTTGTGGTGACATGGCCTCATTTGATTCACCGCCACCCACTGCTTCCTTTTTACGGCGTTTGACCAAACGTCCCTTTTTGGTAGCAGTGGTATCTTCAGCCCTTCTCTTCAATTGTTGTTCTCGAAACTTGGTGTCGAGTTCATCATCATCAAGTAACAAAGACACAATTTCTCGTGGTTTAAAATCAACTTGTTTAAACTCACCACCAGAAATTACTACCCGTTGGATCTATTTTTCATAAAATAAAAAGAACGAACGAATGAATTATATATTGTATGTACGTGTTGTGATTGAAAAAATTCTACAAGTTAATAAATACCTCATCTTTTTGTTTTGCACGCTGTAATATTCTTTCTTCGATTGTGCCTTTAGTAATAAGTCTATATACTGTGACTTGTTTTGTTTGACCGAGTCGATGTGCACGATCCATAGCCTATATTAATAATAAATATAATAATAATAATAAATATATAAATTAATAAATTTTTTAATAATAATAATAACTATAAATATTATGCATGTCATTACCTGTTGATCAACTGTAGGATTCCAATCACTATCGTAGAAAATTACAGTGTCAGCAGCAGTCAAATTAATACCTAGTCCACCCGCTCGAGTACTCAACAAGAAAATAAATATATCGGATCTAACATGTTTATTATAAATATGAATAAATATAATAAACAATCATTATTTAAATATTAAACAATTTTTACCTTGACTGCCAATCTTCAACCATATCACGACGATCAGATATTTTGGAAGAACCATCAAGTCTTAAATACTTGTATTGACGATATGCCAGGTATTCTTCCATCAAGTCAATCATGCGAGTCATCTGAAAATAGATTAATACACGATGTCCACCAGCTTTCAATTCTTCTAAAAGTTTGTCAAGTGTTGCTAATTTCCCAGAATCCATAATAAGTTTTTTCATAGCTGAAATAATAAAATTTTTTTATTAGATTATTTTTCATAAATTTTTTTTTAAAATATTTTTAATATTTTAATAAACATATATCATTCATTAATTTTATTCATTCATACCCGGAACTTGCATATATGAGAAGCCTTGACCTTTGAAATACGTCCGACCATGGATACCTTTACCACCTGATTGTTCTAAATATTTCCCAACAATATTACTTTTTCTTTCTTTTTTAGGCAACAATTCTATTGTGCCAGTAAACGAGGATCTGATTTCTGGTTCAAAAAGAATACTGTTTTGGTCGTTATGAAAACATTTATCATGGCATACTATTCGGATAGGAGGAGCAATAACCTATATAAATACATTCATAGTAAATAAATAATGAGAATTGATTTCATATTTTATATTTATAATTATTATAAATCTTACTTTTGGCATGTAGCATGGATTTTGCATTTGAATTTCATATTTTGTAGTATGTTCAAATATAGTTGTTAATCCAGTTAAAATATCAGAGTTCTCAACATTTGTCAACGAAAGGGCAAAAGACGTTTCAGAAATCAAAAATTTTGCGCGATTATTAATCGCAGCAATTGGATAACTGTATATATCAAAAAAATTAATTTATTCATCAATTCATTATTTTTAATGTCAATCGATCAATCACCAAAATTCAAAGCCGGTTATTAAAACTAACCTTTCAGGATTTTCATCTGTTATATGCACTCCTCTAGATTTATAATTTAAAAGGTGCATTAACCATTTTTGAACAATATTACTACGGAATATAGAAGATGCTTCTGATGGGCTTGTATCAATAAATCTTAAAAATCCAAATGTATCTAATATACATAACAATGCGAGATTAACATAAAAATATTAGTATTTTATAATAAACAAATATAGTGTAATGCAAATATTTATTACCATTTTCGTAATCATTAATCGATTTATGGATATAATCAGGAGACCAGATATTCATCAAGTGGTCTAGAACAAATTTACGAGATCCAGCATTTGAATTTTCACGAGGTACTTCTAATATTCCACCGTCCCGATAAACCAACTTTGGAAGATGATATGATATTAAATTTTTTGTTGAGTAAGGCAGGTATAACTTGTCACCTTCTCGAGATATCATCCAAGTGTTGCTATAAGCACAAAAGGAATATGGAGATGTGACATCTGCTCGTTCAAATAATTCAGGATGATTACAAACTTTTCTGAATTGCATGACCAAGTTCATTAAGCTATCAACACTAGAATCATTTTCAGACAGTGTAGCTGCACGTTCCAATAGTTCAGATACAGATATTTTTTCTCTAAGACCACGATATAACATTCTTTGTCTAGCGGTTAAAGTACAAAAGACCTCTTTCTCAATCTTTTCACCAAGTTCATTCTGGACAGTTTTCTTAACACGACGTAACATGAATGGTTTTAGAATCATGTGTAATCTTTTAAGTTGGAATTCATTTAATGATCCTTTGTTTTCAGCATGACTTTCAATATCCTTAGAGAACCATTCACTAAATTCTTGATGGGAATCAAAAAGAGTTGGCATTATGAAATGTAACAAAGCCCATAATTCTTGCATACTGTTTTGTATTGGAGTACCAGTTAATAAAAGACGATTTCGACATTGGAAACCAAGGAGTGCTTTCCAACGAGCACTTGTGCTACTTTTGATAGCCTGTGCCTCATCTAAAATCATGTATTGCCATTTCGTTCTCTCAAAATAAGATTTGTCCTGCACTACTAATTGATAACTAGTGATGACAACATGGAAAGGCGCATCTTTGTTAAACATGATATTTTTCTTATTTAATGTTTTTCTTAACACTTTACGAGTGCTAGGATTTCCCCAGTATGGTAGTATCTTAAAGCTAGGAACAAACCTAGCAATTTCTTGTTGCCAGTTGTGTAGAGTTGATGAAGGAGCAATCACTAAGAATGGACCCCATATGTTCTGGGATTCTGCTAAATGAGCCATCAATGAAATAGATTGGACAGTTTTGCCAAGACCCATTTCATCAGCTAATATTCCATTAATACCTTGTTCATATAGATTAGCCAACCAATTCAATCCTTTTATTTGATATTCTTTTAATGTACAATTCTGAAGTAAAAAAGGCTGTTTAATTTCAGTCATTGGTGGCATACTAGAAGGATTTTGGAAGTTCATATTATCAACTATTTATTTATTTAATTATTATAAGTAAATTAGTCGAATAAATTAAAAATCGAAGTAAAAGTTAATAAACAAACACAACACGTGATACTAATATAATTTACTTACGATCTGCATTTGATACAGTCATATCAGCAGTAGATTTGTTTGCTATTCTATTATTATCAAAATTTTGTGTATGTTGTCTAACTTGAGCAAGAGCATTTTGAGCACTTAGAAAAGCCTTCTTTTTCAACGAAGATTCATCTTCTTGATCAAAATTAATATCTTTGAATGATTCGAATGGTTCATTATTAATAGTGTCCATATCAATATCACCAATTGTTAGATTATCTGTAGAGATGACATTTGAAAATGATTCTGATGCAGAAGCTGTTGTAGTGTCAGTTGTTTCATCTGCTGAATGAGCTTCAAAAATAGAAAATATATTAAGTTTTTTATTTTAATACAAAAATAGTCTGAAAAAAAGGTAAACTTACTTCCAATCTTTTTACCGACAAAATGGCTATACAATTCAGTTTGAGTTATAAGGAAGTTAAGTTTACGTGCTTGCCTTCTAGCTTCACGCAATTCCTCTTCAGCACGCAAAATCTCCATTGCTTCCTTTTCGGCTTTTTTGCGATCCTCACGTTCATTTTTTTCATGCTTCTTCCAATAACTCAATGCCTATAAAAAGGTCGTCATGGTTAATATATTCATTTAATTGTATCTTGTTTACAAATTAAATTTTTAAAAGTAAAATACCTGTCTCGTAGCTTGTTTGCATTTAGCCTGGATGTCTTTATGAGATTTTGAGGCCTTTTGAACACCTTTTATTGCTTCTTTTCTTATACAGTTTGAGACTTTTCTTGAATTACTAAGTTTTGAATTGATAGATTGTTGAACAATTTTGTGAACCTATTTGAAAATTTAAATGATGTCATTAAAATGACATCTCCTCTAATATATCTATATAAAATCAAAACTATCGAGTAATCAAAGAATAATAATAACTTTTGGAATTGCATTTCGAGCTATATCTTTCCAAATTCTACGTCTTTCTTCTAAATCGTGAGCTTCTTTTTTTTGAATTTTCAACTCGGATGTAACATGCTTTCGTCCCTCATCTTCTTCCTACATATTATAAATGATAATGATAATATTTAACAATTGATAAATATGATCCTGATTTTAACTAATTACTTTATATATGTGTGCGTGTGTGCACTTTAGATTGTGTACCTCAACTTCCATAGAAACAGCAGCTCTTGATTTACGTGATGGTTTTCTCTTTTCAGATTTACCTTCGACTTCAGGCTTACGTATAGATTTACGATTACCTCTTTTATTTTTAGGTTTTAGTTTAGTGTCTTTTTTATTAATATGGCCAGAAATTTTGTTTTTTCTATTCCCCCGACTGGCAAGTCTTGCCATGTATTGTTCACGTAGCCTTTCAGTTTTTATCTTAACAAAATAATAATTAATAAATAAAAGTTATGTAAATAATAATCAATTAATTTGTTATTTATATACCTTTTGACGTTTATCATATTCAGCAATAACACGCCTGGTACGCTGACGTAATTCTACCATATACTCAATTGCTACTTTTTCATTGTTTAATAATTCATTTTGACTATCAGACTCACTATCAGAATCTGATACAGAATCTGCGGTAGTGTCACTTGAATTGTCAACATCCATACTGTCAAGAGTAGTTGATGAATCAGAAGTATTGTTATTTAAATCATTATCATATCCAGGTTCATTAAAGATTTCAGATTTTTTTGCTTGAACCTTTCTTGATCTTGTATTAGATTTGCTTAATGGTTTATTTTCTCGATTAGTTTGAGTTTTTGTTGTTGTGCTAGAAGTTATAAATTGTTTTAAATTAATATCAGTATTATTATTAATAATACTAGAGTTTGATTTTTCAAATATCGTAATTGGTTTATAATCAACTTCTTGGATGAGATCTATTGAGTTAATATCAGATGTGCTAGATGTTAAATTAGATGATGACGGTGATGATGAAGATATTTTTGATGTGTCTTTTTTGGGTGATGATGATGAAGTGATTATTGATGCTTTAGATGCGTGAGTTTTGAATGGTGACGGTGATATTTTAGATGATGTTAAAGATGCATTGTTTAAATTAACTTTAGTTGATGCGAATTTTTTAATTCTATTGCTGTTATTATCTATTTTCTTTTTTGCATTAGTTACAGTGGGCGAAAAATTAATAATAGTATTCGTTGAATTAATCATATTCTTGGAACTTATCCTTGATTTTGTTCTGGGATGTTCATCCGTATAATTTATAGGTGTAGTAGTGCTTGAAATATCGTGTTCTTGAGTGATTGTTTTATTTTGGTTTGAACGATTTTTATTAGATTTTGATTTCTTTATTAAAAAAAAAAAAAAAAGAAAAATAATTAAACAGTAAATATATGTTGATGTGTTTACGTGTACATATACATATGTGTGCGTGTGTGATATTTACCACTACCAAACCATTTCCTGATTCGTGAAATTTTTGTGATTTAACAGATATATTATCCATATCTTCTTCAGTTGGTTCAACGTTATTCAAAATAGATTTGTTTTTATAGTTGGTAGTATGTTGAGTGATGAATGTTGTTAACTTGTCATTTGCATTAATAAATATAGGGGTAGTGCGAGTGGAAAATATAGGTGTGGAGAAGGAGGAGGAGAGGGAAGGGGAGTAAGAGGGAAAGGATGAAGAAATCAAGCCGTTGTTATAATTATTATTACTATTATTAAATTGAGTAATTGTATAACTGTTGTTATTAACGGTAGAAGAAGAAGAAGACGAAGGAGTGGTTTTTTCAACTTTTGATTTAGTAGATAAAGAATAAATTGAATCTTCGTTTGGTTCTTTATTCAATAATTGATCTATATTCATTATTATAGGTTAAAAAGATGTTTTATTTATTTATTTATACAAAAATAAAGTTTGAAAAAATATTACTTTGAAAATTTATGGGGATTTTTTATTATGTCACTGAGGGGGGCATTGATCTTACGTAAATGATTTTTTTTTTGTTAAATCTTTTTTCAATATTAAATTCAGCACGGTATGATCATAATAATAACATTATGAATATGTTGGCAAAAACCCGTTGGTTTTGAGGTGGGGGCCATTCATTGGTTTGACGGGTTGTTGGATAGTAAAATAATTTTTTTTAGCGGACCAATGTAAGTTAATTATCATTTAAAAATACTCGTGTTTAACGCCGAGACACAATAAGATATAAGATTTGAAAAAAGGGCCAAAAAACCAAATCAGCTGATATGCATAGAATAAATTAAATAACGACATTACTTGATTTAATTCACTCATTCTCATGCGGAAATTTTTGTTCAAATACAATAAATATATAATAGGAAATACACAAATAAATAACTAATTAAAAAAAATTCTAATTTGAAATAAATAAATAAATCTTCTAATTCATTGATAAGAATCTATGCGTAATTCCTTTAAAACTGCCACGGCTTTACTATGTTTTTGAATGGCTGCCAATTTTATATAATATAAACCCTTTTCCTTGTCTTGTATTACTCCATGTTTACCATAATAATACAATGATCCTAATAAATATCGTGCTGATGAATTCTTATTGTCAGCTGCCAAAGTGAAATAATGTATTATTTGATTTAATGTATTAGGATCTGGACCATTTGCCTTCGAGTCATCAAGCAATATATGTGCGTATCGAAGTTGTGCATCTGGTACACCTTCTTCAGCTGCTTCTCGAAAATATTCAGTTGCTTTTTTCTTGTCTTTTTCCAAGCCTGCATAGCCTTCCAACAAATAATATCCATACCAATATTTTGCTGTTTTGTTATTAAGTTTTACATGCTCAATAAAGATTTTTAAGGCTTCATCTTTGCAACCTTTTTTATGTTTAGAAATACCTTCTAGCATTGTAGGTATATTAACGATTTTTGAAAGGTTTTTTGTTTCTGGTAATTTTCCTTTTACCTTTTTTGATAGAATTGGTGATCTTATTGACGATGGCGGAGACTTTGAATCTGGATTAATTTGATCTGCGTTACTGGTTGAAAATTCTTTTTTAAGTTTTATCTCGGATGCATCACGAGGCCTTAACCATGGCGAATCACCAACTTTAGTTTTTTCTATTGTAATAAGAGTATTCAAGTCGAGCACGATTTTTTGAAATGTTGGTCTACAAAAAGGATCTCCACTCCAAGCTATATATAAATATATATTATTTATATGTTTTTTCACACAAAATATCAATTTTGATATATATATATATATATATATATAAATCACCTTCTTTCATAATTCTCAAGTATTCATCTTGTGACTTTTTAACTTCAGGTTTTTGTGATTTAAAATTGACTATTTCTCTACCATTGTTTGTTACATGTTTTTTTATTCGATCTATAGTCCATCCTTCGTATGGTATTTTTTCAAATGCTAATTCCCACATAAGCATTCCAAAGCTACAATATAAAATATATTAACACATTTTATTATTATTATTATTATTATTATTATTATTATTATTATTATTATTATTATTATTATTATTATTATTACCCTCATTATCATTATTACACAATTAATTACCTGAAAATTTCACATTGTTTTGTATATGGAATTTTTTGATTCTTCAATTTTTCCGGTGCCATCCAATTTACAATATTTAACAATAATAGATCATTCAATTCGACACTTAATAAAACCTGATCATTTTTACGTGATAGTTTAAAGTTTGTAATCTTAGGAATGTAGCGATCACCCAGCTGTTTATTAAATTAGCATTTTATTAATGACAAAGTAAATAAAATTTTCGTCATTAAAAATCTTATAAATTACCAAAATATTTTCACATCTAATGTCATGATGAAGATAATCAACCGAATGTAAAAAAGTTATTCCTCGACAAATATCAAGAACAATTTCCAATTTTTTTGCCCATTTTATTTCTGTATTTAAATAAAAATCTCTCAAATTTCCATGCTTTGCCCATTCCATCACCATCACTTTATTTCTGTTTATTGTGGAGATTCCATAAAATTTTATAATATAGTTACATTCATTACCAATTTTCTTTAAGAATGCTATATTACGTGGAAAACCCTTTGGCTTTCCCTCTAAAGATGCATCACTTTTACATGCAACATAATATCCTAACTTACAATATTTCATGAAAACTTTTCCTCCAGAAGGCTTACTTTCTCTACACTCGATTGGAGGGTCTATTAATTCAATGTCCACAATCTCTGGTACATAAACACCCTCTTCATCATTACTCCTCTGTTCAGTATGCTTAGCATTTGCATTTTCATCAAGTTTATTTAATAAATCTTGTCTCATTAAAGAAATTTGTTCTAGAACCTTATTGATTTTTTTGTTATTGTCAGCAACACCTCTTCCTATAACATCTAAAAACTATCATTAAAAACAAATATAAACGATAATTTAGTAAAATACATTAATTACATACACTTTATTTGTTATTCATTAATAATTAATTTTATTTGTTTACTTATTTACCTGTGCCATTTCTTCAATATCATCATCTAAATCAGTGATATCTTTACAGCGTTGTTCTTCATCAGCAACGCATTTAGTAAAATGTAAATCAATGATAGCTTGATCATATTCTTTGATTAACTCTTTAAATTTTTTTTTGATAGCTTTAGAATCTGTAAATTTTCGTAATCCATTAAGTTTTGACACATCGCGTACAAAATTTTTAATATCTTCCAAATTTTGAACTAATCGATAAAATGATCTATAGTATACAGCATTACAAAAATTTTCTTCGTGTTCTTCTCTCCTTCTTATTAATATTTTAACACTAAATTCTACTGCTTGTATTCTGTCAATTAAATTTTTACAGGTTTTTTTATTATACTCTACATTTTCAAGAATTTTTAATGTTTCATCTGTGATAGTAGCTATTAAGCCTATTAAACTTACATAAGGTGCAAATGCTGATTTTGTATATATATATATATATATGTATGATTAAAAAAATGATTAATAATTGAAATCCTTTTTTTTTTTTTTTTTTTAAAAATAAATTTTTTTTGTTCTAACCCACCTTCACTCACTTCTCCAATTCCTTTTAATATATCAGGTGTAGCATTTGCTACTGGAGGTAAATCATTTAACTTACTTCCAACATCAGTTGCTGTTGACCTAATCACTGAAATAACATTTTTAGTCATTTTTTATCATTTGAAATTTTTCCACACTTTTTAATATATATAATAATAATCGACTACAACTAGTACAAACTTGGAAACTATCCGCAGAAAAATGTATAACGTGGTATGCGGACTTTGCGGACCTTGGACTTCGTACTGTTGATGATTTTATTATTGTTGCCAAAATAATTTTAATGCATTCATTTATATTAACATATATATACTAATACAATATAAAGATGATTAATATTAATATTAATATTAACCTTTTTTATTTTATTTTTTTTCCAATACCCTTGCATTGTATATTAATATGGCGGGACAAAAATTACAAGAGTTGTAGGAGCTCTTAATAAGATGCTCATTATAGAGAGAAAAGTTGTGTAATTAATAATTTATATATTTCGAACTATTCATATTAAGATATCTCTTCTCCTTGTAGTCTTGCAAATTAAAGAATTTATTTTCTCCATATAAAATGGCATCATTACAAAACTTCTTTTAACCAAATTTATAATCTAATCTTAATCTAATAAATTCAAACTTTAGGAATAAAAAAAAAATGTTTTATTAAACAAAAAGTTTATAAATCAATAAATCAGTAAACTATAAATTAAGTTAATATTAAATAATTAATTAATACAAAATGAAAAAAAAAATTTTAAATCGCACAAAAAAAATTTTTTCTCTGAACACGTAATTACAGTAGTTATTTTTATATAACCACCATTATTTGACATCATATATACCATTAAATTTATCTAATATACAACTTGATGGTGACATGTTTGCTAAAAAAACTTTCTCTCGACACTATTTATACAATATATTTATACTTTACTAACTTTAGTATTACGATGACAGTAAATAAAATAATTAAAAAGTCTTGTTTCGAGTATATTGATCCGCATCTTATCTTCCGCTTCCATCTTTCTTATTTATGATATCCTTTTCCACTTTTCACAGTATATTCCATCCCTGCCTTATTTATTTTATTTCCATATTTGATGTCCAGTATGTTCGATATTTTTCATATATCCATCGATTTATGATGTTTTAAAGGACAAAGATTCTTGAAGAAGATATACTATAGGGCAAATTTCCGATCATGTGATAATTGCCTTATACTTTTTACATGTTTAAAAGTGTTATTTATACATGTATTTTTTCATCATATTAATATCCTAATTTTATATATGTAGAGTATCATTTTATTTTAATAAAAAATCATTTGAAGTTATATATAATTGTGTTATTATAAAAAAATTGAGATAATTATCGTGGTAAATATACACTTCCTGGAACTTTGATTCTCAAAATTACATATAATAAAAAAATTATTATTTCAATTATACCCTTTTTGAGCTATAAAACAAGAAGCCATAAAAATAAAAAGACATTATAAAATTACTAATATCACATATTAGATATAAATTTAGATTTATAATATTTGACATCCACAGTTGCTCATTCATGAAAAAGTTACTTTTATAAATTCTACACAAAAAAAGTTTTTATACATAATCCTAATTTAAAATTGCTAATTTTTCTTTGCTAATTTGTATACTTCATATTCTAACAAATAAGCTTTTACTTTTTTCCTATCATTCTCAAGATTTTAATTATTCTGATAAAAATTACTATTAAATTGATAAATACAATAAGGTTCATTATTAATACTGTTGTATAATTGTAAATCTTCAAAGTTGATGATAATTTCATGAAAACCTATATTATCAAAAGTCCAATTAATAGTTTGATGATTATGAAATATTGCATGCTTAGGATATTTGACTCTACTTAATATAGAATTATCAAGTTGATTCTCATTAATTTTAAAAATAAAACTTTGATCAGTTTCAATCCAATATGCTTCATTTAAAGATTTTTCTTTTCTATTCCAATAAACTGGGTTATAGCCACCCACTAATTCACCTGTTTCTTTGAATTTCATAAATACTATAGTTTGTTTGATGTTATAACATTCTTGTTCAAAAACTGATCATGAATATTCATCTTGAGTGCTTTGAAGAATTAATTCAAAATCATATGGAATGTCATTTTCATCATAATAGTCATTATTTTGATCAATCCAACCAGAAACCAGTAATTTCATTTTTGAGTTTAATAATTTTCCTTTCCTATTTCTTGTTCTTGGACCTTTATAATGAAGAAATCTATTTTCATTCAATGTTGAAATATCTTTTTTTAATAACCCACATTGTCCTATTCCCCATTGGATGACATGGCTCCAAATATCAATCTCATCTAATTTCAAATTATCACTTTCCAATATTGATACAAACATTGGTTTTTCAATTGTTGCAATGTCATTGGATTTTAAAATTGAACCTGGATTTTCACAAATCAATTTATCACAAAAATCTTGAAGTGAACTAAATTGATGTTTTGATGAAACTTTATAAACATAAATAAAATTTTGGTGGAGCCATTCACTTTTTTCATTGATTAAATAATTTTGTAAATCATCAATTAATTCATTAAAGTTTAACTCATCACATGCTTCAATGAGTTCCAGAATTTGGTTTAAATCCAGGCTACCTATATTGAGAATTCCATTGTACATATACCTTTTAAAAATGTAAATATGTAAAAAAAAAAATTTCATTTAATAAATCAATTCTTTATTTATTTTTTATTAATAAGTCAAATCAACTTACATTAAAAGAATTTCAAAAACTCTTGGAGAAATATTTTCTTTTTCAAATAAAATGGTACCATGATCAGACCTTTTAATCCAATTATTGGATAAGGCTGCTCGAAAATACAAAGATCTTGCCTTTAAAATGGTAGAATGAACTTTAAAAATTCTGACATCTTCCACTCCTCCAACTTTGATTTCTACATCATAATAATCTGAGTTATTTAACAAATTTGAAAAATCAATTACTAGCTTATTAATATAATTTAAAGGTGAAGCATTATTAATGTTAAGGTTTTTAAGCAAGTATGTAATATTTTCCAAGGATGAGAAACTATTATTAGACATTTCAAAGAAAAAAAATTTTTTTAAAAGAATTTAAATATTAACTAACATTAATTGCCAATTTATTTTTTCAATTTATTTATTTGGTGTAATCAATCATTTAGTCTATATATAATATAATACGGGCCGATCAACGTCCTGTGACATTTAAAGATTCCACTTAAAATAGTAAAAGTAATAGAGTAGGAGTGTTGGTGATGGTAAGAGTAGTAGTAAAATCGTTAAATAGTGAATTATTTATATCGGGTAAAGGTTTTGATGGTAAAGAATAAAAAACATATATTTATTATTATGATGATGATTAGGATTAGAAATGTAAACCATATAACAGCCATTTCCATGCTATTCCTCCCTCTACTACTTCACCTTCTTCTATTTTTACTATCAATTAAAATTAATTGACGAAATTCAATTGATGATCTGTCTATGAATCAATGAGTGTTAGTGATGCGCGGGGAAGAAACACTAATCAGTAAGTAACCTTTTATAAGAACATATTCATGTATTTTTATTGCCATTAATAATATAAAGAAAAAAAGTTTTCTCTTTACAATGCGTTGATTTTCGAGCTTTGTATATATTGAAAAAACTAATTTCCGTGTAACACTTGTAAATGATGAATAATAATATTGTGTATGTTTGTAATAAAATATGATACAATTGCTTGCATATTATTATTATTTATTATATTTATTATATTAGTATTAAAGTAGTACTAGTACCTGTGTGTAAAGTACTCACTTTCAGTACTTAAAAATAGGTTTGAATACGTAATTTTTAGTGACTAAAATATGTTTTGACAACGAAAATGCGGTTATATTAATCAATACGTATATAGTAATTGATTTTAATTGGTAATTTATAATATATGTATTCAGTGCCTTGTTCATTAACACCCTTTCACTCTCTTCAAAAGAGCAGGGTTGTGACTGCTCTTATAACTTGTCCACAACAAACTGCTTGACAACTTGTGATAAATTTAAAATCAAAAATTACTCATATTCTCGATTCACCGCATAAAAAAATCATTATCTTTAAAAATATTCTTTCAGATATTGAGGTTTTAATTTTGAGAATGCATACGAACATTGAACAAATAAAAAAAGTAAAAAAGATCACATTTTAAAGATGGCTTTGTACCGAAAAAGTATCAAATTTGAGGTACTAGAAGGAAATTAATGAATAGTAAAATGGTCCTTGTACCATTGTACCAATAAAATTCAGTATTTGTATTGTTTTTGATATAATTTATACTGTTTTAGATATGTTTGGGTAATATTTTTGATGCAATTATTATCTTTGTACCAGCTTTGTACCAGTTGTACCAATGCTAGCGTATGTGTGTTCATGTGTGACTTCGCTTTCTCAACAGAATAAAGAGACCCAAATGAGTAGAAGAGTAATGCTCGATCTCGCAGTCCACAGTAACATTAAGGACTGAGAAAATTCTATTGAATGTGGCTGTCAACATTATGGTTTGAATGTGACTGCTGCAAGCATTATCTATAATTCGGGTTAATAGTGAATTAATTTTAATATTAAATCCAAAAAAGGAAATTCGAACCGAAAAAATGGACTATTACTATTACTATTACTATTACTATCACTCTGGAAATTGTACTTTAAAAATTCGAATTCTCCTTTAGAAATTTTTAGAGTAAATAAAAAACTTTATTACAAATGAAAAAAAATTTTCCGGAAGGAAAATTATTTATTATTATTAGCTAATTCACATTCGGGAAAATTTTCCGCTTTTTTTTTTTCCAGATATTAATATTAATATCTTGATGAAAAATTTAAAAAGATGAATTTTCTCCACTATTTATTGTTAAAAAAATTTTATTGCTAAATTTATAAATAATAATAGTAATAACAATATGTCGCCACCAGCTAATTTAGTAAAACAAAAGGAATCAGGACTTGCTCGTGTATTGGGTTCTGGAGCTTCAGGAGTATTTGAATTAATTATATTTCATCCTGTTGATACTATTTCAAAACGTTTAATGACTAATCA